AAATCCTTATCCAGGGAGAAGCTGTGGGGCAGATGTCTGAAGCAATCCTTTGAGAGAACACTTTTCAGGGCAGAGTAATTGCTCGGTTCTGCCTACTTCTTGCCCTTCTGCTTCATGTGTGCTACAAAGTAGTTGTTGCCTGCGATGGTGAGGCCCGCAATTAGGGAAAGGAAGCTCTGGGAGCCCACTTTGCCATCTCGGCACTGGTCCAGGTCCTTCATTATTTTGTCTAAGGCCAGAGGGTCTTTTTGATTTTCCAAAAATCCCAGGAACTCCTTCTCCATGAGCACTCTGAGGTCCTCCTTTGTTAAGTGGCCTTTAACCCCGGCAAATTTGTGAAATGTGAACATCATGGTTTCCATGGTGTGCTCCATCTGAGATGGCATTTTGGTGAGGTCTACTGAAGTCTGGGCCAAGAGGCGCGGCGGACGCTAGCAGGCTGGGGCGCAGGGCGGCGAACAGAGCCGTACTAATCTTTTCTTTGTGGTTTTTTCCCATTACTTCTAAGCTTCCCTATCCAGATTCAGACCCAAATTTTATAATATAAATTCTATATTTAATATTTTTATCCACCTGCAATTTTGTCAAAGTTCCTTTTTGCTTTTCAAATATTTGCTTTAGAGCTAACTAACTTCTCCAGAATCACCAAGTATTATTGTATGACCTCAGATTTCCTTACTTGTAAATAGGAACAATAATAGCAGATACATCAAAGGGAAGATTCATGAGATAATGCATAGAAAATGTTCAGCAAGTAGTCAACAAGTGGGAGCTTACATTAACAGTATCAGTAATCCAATCTACTAATGTATGACACTATCATATTAAAATTTTATATATTCTAAGATCTGCTTCTGGGTTGTCTGGTCTAATCCATTAATCTATTTTATAATTCTTATGTCCGTAGCATGTCTTTGCTTTTATCTTCTGATTTGTCTTATAGTTCTTAAAATTATAGTTCTAAAAATTCTGCCATTTTTTTCTCTTTGCTATGAAAGACAAAATTAAAAAAATTTGAATTCTCAACTATGTTATTAAATAAAAAACAAAAAGACGTATCTGGTAGGACCATTCTAGATCACTACTTAACCTTCTCAAAAACACTTCACCTTATCTCCCAGATTTTATTCTGGGAGCTAGACTTCTCCAGATGAAGTCTACTTAGTTATTCCCAAATTTAGCTTCACATTGGAACCACAAGGGAATTTTAACCTTCAGTATATCAGGAAAAAAAAATTTACTATCTAGGTCCAAAAGACCCTTTTTATTTATTTTTAATATTTTCAGTTATTTTATGATTCATTTGCAGAAATAAGAATAAAGGGATAGTTTTTTAAAAACAAAACTTTGAGGGAAAGTTGTAAAAAATATAGCAATTTTTTAATTTCATCTTTCTCTGATACTAAAGGCATACGTGAGTATATCCAAAATAGGCAATATCCTTTAAATACAACCAACTGCTCACAACTATCATGCATGAACCTGCAATATTTAATACTTTTTTTTTTTTTTTTTTTGAGACAGAGCCTCAAGCTGTCACCCTGGGTAGAGTGCTGCGAAATCACAGCTCACAGCAAGCTCCAACTCCTGGGCTCAAGCAAGTCTCCTGCTTCGGCCTCCCAAGTAGTTGGACTACAGGCGCCCACCATGCCTGGTTATTTTTTATTTTTTATTTTTTTTTGGTTATAGCCATCATTATTGTTTGGGGGACCCAGACTGGATTCGAACCCACCAGCTCAGGTGTATGTGGCTGGTGCCTTAGCTGCTTGAGCCACAGGCACCAAGCCAATATTTAATACTATTTCCATTTTCATCCTTAGGAACACTATTCATTCATTAATTTTTTTGTTTAGAGATGGAAGTCTCACTCTGTCACTCAGGCTGGAATGTAGTGGCACAATCATAGCTCACTGCATCCTTGAACTCCCAGGCTCAAGTCACCCTCCTGCCTCAACCTCCCATGTAGCTAGAACTACAGGAGCACACCACTGTGCCCAGCTAATGTTTTTATTTTTCTGGAGAAACAGGGTATCTTGCTATGTTGCCCAGGCTCATCTCAAATTTCTGGCCTCAAGTGATCCTCTTGCCTCAAATCCCAAAACGTTGGGATTAGAGGCCTGAGCCACCACTCTTGAAGCATTATTTCTTGAATTTGAAAAAAATTCACCTAGGAATCATAATCTGAAGGCTCACAGTCTGAGATTTCCCTTAAACAATTAAATTCACTATCATTATTAAAGTGCTATTTCTTTGCTTTTAATCTTCTGATTTGTCTTATAGTTCTTTAAATTATAGTCTAAAAATTCTGCCATTTTTTTCTCTTTGCTATGAAAGACAAAATTTAAAAAATTTGAATTCTCAACTATGTTATTAAATAAAAAACAAACAAAAGACTAAAGATATCTCCCAAATGTTTTCGTATCTTCTTAAATGACATAGCAATTACATATTTCACCATTATATCCTTCTGGCAATTTTCTTCACTCTTCTATTTTCTTCTTTCTGGCATTACTGAGGAAAAATAATGAATACTGATTAAACATGTCCTAGGAAAATGAAGTAGCAAAATGTTTCCAGGTAAGATCGCTAAAATCCTATAATACATCTTACATTGACATATGTCCAATGAAACCATATGATGATTGCAAGATAGAATGAGATCTGTTCTAGTTTTTTTAATAAGTAAATTTTCTTTTTATTCTTTGGAAGATCTCTAACCAATTATACAAATTACAAAATAAATATCAATCACTACAATAACAACAACTACTCAAAAAAGAAATTCAAAAACCAAAATTAAAACCAATGAAGTCTGATGATAAATACCAAGGGTTAAGAAAGACCAATACTTAGGTCTTCCCCACATATTCTGCTTTTATTGATCTGGCACATGTAGGGTAGGGCTTGTGCACTGGAATACTTTTAAAGCACCCCAGGTAATTGTTAATGTGCACCTAAGGTTTAGAACCATTTTAAAATTACAATAAATAAAAGAACAAACAAAAAATCCCACTGAAATGTTAATGGATTCACAAACTATCCATAAATCAATTTTGAATAACATCTTTATAGTTTTGAGCATTCCTAGCCAGGTTTCAAATTTCAAATTTTTTATGCCTTATTAATTGTGTTTCTTCTCACAAGGTAGTTACATTTCTTAACTAGGTTCCCAGGTATTATATACTTTCTGTTGCCATTTTTAATGTAAACTCTTTTCCACATTTTGTTTCCTAATACTACCAATAGAAAAACTTGTTATTTCTTTTCACATTTAGTTATTTCACAGAATTCTACTAATTCCAACAATTTTCATTGCCTTTGTCTCCTTTTCCAGAAAACACTGTCTTGCAGTGTTAAAATTCATACATTTTAAAATGTAAAAACTACAGCAGAAGCACATCTTTTGTAAAGCCAGTCTTTATATATCAATTTTTAAAAATAAAGGTTTCAAGTTACCTCCTTCTCAACTGCAAATAAGAACTGTATTTAAATTATCTAAACTCCAATCTACTGTTTTGGCAACATATTGTTTGTAAAGTAATACGTTCTTTAGTGTGATGTCTACCACCTGTCCACTTTTAAAAAGACATACAATCCTATGTACAATTGAGAAGGGAGCCCAACAGTCAAAAGCTACTATGTCCCAGTTCTTCCTACTGAAAATCAATACCTCTTATCTCATCCTTACAGGTGAGTTAAAAATGAAAACACATCTACCTTATTTCTTATTTCCTACATGTATCCATGATATCTGATTATCAGTGAGCTTCAGTATTCAACTGTGCATTACAGTGGAAAACAATGAACTAAGAACTAAAAGACCTGGATTCTAATCTTGACACAAACACTAAATAAGTGATTTCACACAAATTATTTAACTGCTTAGAAAAAAAAAAAAAGAAGAGGAAGAAATTTTTAATAAAGTAATTTATTTACAAAACCCTTTTTGTACTTAAAATAATTTGGCTTTGATAATAAGTGGACCACATTTTCGGGTTTACTGTTATCCTTATTTGCCTACAAATTAATTTTTCATCAAACCTCAGACTGTTTCGATTATCAACCAAGATTTTAAAATATGTATTACTGCTGAATTAGAAAATTTAAAAAGGAAAGGAAGAGACAAACAAGAAAATGGAAAAAGAAGAGGTAAAAACAAACAGCAAAAAACTACCAGAGGTACATCCTCCCTGGGCAAATACATAGCATTAGAGCAAATGGCTGCTCCCTCACATAACACCTCTAAGTCAAATGAACAAATAGTCTGAGTGCCTACCATTTGCAATGGACAAGATAGTTCTTACTTCCAAGTACTACAGTTCAGCATTCAGAAAAATAATCAGGGAAATCTAGGTAAGAGTCTCAATAAAATATTAAGATGATAAAGCAAAAAAGAAATACCTGAAAATTTGGCAAATTAAATTTGGTAAATTCTACTTATTCCATTACCAAAAAGTGTCCAAGTATTTTCTGTCCTTTTCCACTAAGATTTCTGCCACTGTGGTGAACCAATTACAAGTACATATTACAGGAATTATCAGTGATTAAGGGAATAAGTTTATTTCGGAGGTTAAAAAAAAAAAAGAAACATTTGTATTTTAAACTTATTAAAACTGGATCAAGAAGAACTGAAACATCAAAATTTTGAATCACATTCAGAGAGAAGCTCTAGCTATTTTTTAACATCTCTCCTAGGTACCAAATATGCCTATTATTAAAAAGGAGACTTATTCTACTGTCTCAGCCCAGAAATGAAAAGAGAAAAAACTAACATTCTAACATTTACCCAGCACCTATACATGTTGCTAGGCACATCCACCTTTTACTCTTTCATCATTTGATAATCTCAATTTTGTTAGGTAATAATTACATTTATTTTAATTTTTTATGGTAAATTAAGTCATGGACTAACTAGTTAGGCAATTTTCCTATAGTCTCACAAGATTTCTTTTAAATGCATTCTTATTACTACTTGCTATCTTCTGAACTAAAAATTCCAGAAACTCATATGAACCTTTTATTATGCATTTGGAAAAAAACACTGACAAAATAAGACCTAAAAACTTAAATATATAAGCATAAAATATACTCAAAATAATCTTTCAAATACTAAAAAAAAGTAAAAGGTAAAGATTTAGGGTATCAGTAAAGGCAGTTTCAAACAAATTAGATTTGACAGAGAAACACATCATAGTGTATAAGAAAAACTAAGTCATAATTGAGGATTTTAGAAAATTTGGAAAACCAGAACCACCATTATTAGAGATTTTAAAAAGTCTTTGGCTCGGCGCCTATGGCTCAACTGGCTAAGGCGCCAGCCACGTACACCTAAGGTGGCGGGTTCGAATCCCCAGCCCGGACCCGCCAAACAACAATGACGGCTGCAACCAAAAAATAGCCGGGCGTCGTGGCGGGCGCCTGTGGTCCCAGCTACTTGGGAGGCGGAGGCAGGAGACTCGCTTGAGCCCAGGAGTTGGAGGTTGCTGTGAGCTGTAATGCCACGGCACTCTACCCAGGGGGACAGCTTGAGGCTCTGTCTCAAAAAAAAAAAAAAAAAAAAGTCTTTAAAAAGGAAGGAGAGAAGGGAAGATTATAGACCTTGAGTTCTAAGTAAGTCAGAAGGCGTAAAAGTTTTTTGAATTTAAATCATCCTACACAAGATTTGTACTTTTTTAACTATAGCTATAACCCCTAACTCTCTATTCAGAAACAAGATTCCCTGCCCAACAGAATTCCATCTAAAATCCTTAACCTAGTATTCAAAGCTC